TCCTCCTCCTCCTCCTCTTCTTCTTCTTCTTCTTCTTCCACATACAGACCTGCAATAAGTCTTTGACGTACCAGCAAGACAGTTGAAATGCACCTGCTTTGAGCCCAAGTCAAACGCCAACCCCCCCCCAGCCCCCCCCCACCCAAACCCCCTCCCAAGTTTAGTTTTTTTATTGCAGATTCGTGGTCCTCTGGGGTAGCGCAGCAAAACCCCGCCTTCGGGGGGGAAAAAAAACCTGCTGGGTTTTTGGGCTGCCTGGATTTCCCGGGCGGACCCCCCCGGGCCCACCCGGCCGGGCAGCGGCCCAGCCTAGAAAATTGGACCATTTGGTCCATTTCTCAATTTATGCGTGTCATCCTTGCATAGGGGCCATGCGAATCCTCTCTGTATTGTTCCAATTTTAATAGAGGCTTCTTTAACTGGCTTGTTTGTTTGACAGAATCTGTGCAGAATACTGAAATTGAGGAGCTTTGGAGCGCAGCGCAAGCTGCGTCTGGCATTCCAAAAACTATTTCCTGGTGGCAACTATGGAGGGGGGCCTTCAAGGTTTAGCAGCGGGACTCAAGATGGGAATGGGCAAGAGCTCAGGAATAGTCAAGATGAGCATGGAAGATCAACGGACGAGAGGGTTGAACAGCCTCCACAGGGGGGGAGTGGGTCTTCGCAGAGGAATGGTTGGCCTTTCCGGTCCTCGCTGGAGGGTGGCCTTAGCCCAAGGGAAGATTACCAAGTGGCGAGCACGCCTGGTGCTTTTGGTGGGCATGGGACTAATCCTACGGTTACTCTGGGGCCAGGGGTTCCAAGATGGGGATCGGGGGATGGGCACTGCTGGTGGCAGAAGAACGACGTTGGAAGCGGCAAGAAGTCAGGGAGGCAGGCTGGCAGGGAATCTATGGTGGAAAACTGCACACCGGCATCCCAACCATTCAGCTGTTTGATTGACAGCTCGTTCAAGGGAACGGGTTCCGAGCGGAAGTGCTCGGGTGCTTCTGTGTCGGGTATGGCAGATCTTGGTGGAAAGTGTGTTGGCGATAAGGATAGCGGGTTAATGGCGAAAGGGCGCAACCTAACTAATCTTGACAGGGGTGGTGGAGATGGAGGAGATGATAAGATGCGAAGAATTGCAGCAGGCGGTGCTGGCGAGTTTGCCGGTGCCAGCTTGGCAGGTGGCGAGATTGGGACTGGAAGTAAGGGTGGGAGCGATGGGACCAGGCAGCTGCAGCAGGGTGGCAGGAAAGATGCGTTGGATCAGGGTTCCGGAGGGGGAGGGCAGACTCATGGGTGGGCTTCACCAGATTTTGGCAGAATGGAACCTAAGATGGGGCCAAGGACCCCAACCGATTCTTTTTGTCTTTCGGAGCCCGCCAATGTCAGCTCAGGAGATGAGAGTGACTCTGTGGTAGCGGGTGACATGGAAGCAGACTCAGAACTGGAGAATCAAATGGTCAAGGAGCGTGATCACATGGAGGACATAGTCAGCAGATGTTCAGACCAACTGAGGGAGTTTGAAGATCTGCTGAAGCAGGAGTCTGATAACCTCGCATCTACAATTCGAACTGAAGGATGGTAGGTTTCTTCCACCATCTCTATGTCTGTCTCCATTCATGGCTGTCTCTGTCTGTGTCTCTGTGTTTCTCTGCCTCTGTTTCTCTCTGTCTCTGTCTCTGTCTCTGTCTGCCTCTCTCTATCTCAGTCTCAGTCTCAGTCTCAGTCTCTCTGTCTCTGTCTCTGTCTCTGTCTCTGTCTCTGTCTCTGTCTCTGTCTCTGTCTCTGTCTCTGTCTCTGTCGCTGTCTCTGTCTCTGTCTCTGTCTCCGCCTCTGTCTATCTCTGCCTCTCTGTCCCCGCCTCTATCTCTGCCTCTGTCTTTGTCTCAGTTGCCGTCTCAGTCTCTGTCTGTCTGTCTGTCTGTCTGTCTGTCTGTCTGTCTGTCTGTCTGTCTGTCTGTCTGTCTTTGTCTGTCTGTCTGTCTTTGTCTGTCTGTTTGTCTGTCTCTGTCTTT